AACTAGAAAGAATTTATGACCGCAAATAGGAAAACGGATCCGATTTATTATATAATACACACTTGAACTATCTGCCCTAGGGAAAAGGATGGGTCCATAAAAGGCTTTTTGAGAGAAGCTGGCCCGTATTCATATTGCACGTACGGAAAACAACTAAAATAAATTGAAGTCATCTCTTTCACCATCAGGATTTAACACCGAGTAATACTACCAGTGTATGGAGGAGTATGAGTCTACGTGGTAAGAGGAATATATGACCATGGAAGTTAAGTCTCATCCGTTCGGCCGCTAGTGGGCTATAGATGGGAAAAAGTATTTGATATTAATTAAACATGTCTGATTATGACTGAAGACTTTAAAGATACGGAATTACGGTTTGAATAATTTTGTTTGAACTTTTTCTAGTAACATCTAGCGATTTACAATTTACATAATTTTTATCCAAAAATAAATACTCGAGTTTTAAAAATTTAAATATTTCTTGAACTGAATTTATCAAAGAAACAGAAATTACTTATTGGCCCTTTATTATTATCTTCTCTGAATTCATCTATGAAGGTAAAAAATAAATTGGTTTATTTATATCAGGAGTTTTGCATACGCAATAATTTGTTATAGATTTCATTTGGCTATTTTGTGTTTCAAACACACTGAATCTTCCAAAATACATTCTAGAGTTCTAAGGAACTCTTTGAGTTTCTTAAAACATAATTCTCATCTTTCTTTCAAATTCTTTGGGTTCTAAGGAAGATCACTGAGGTTATCAAATGAATATTTTCTCCTTGATGCTGAAACTTTTCTAAGCCATATTTTTTAATCACTCAATTCGTTAAGCAGTTATAATTTAAAAGATAAAGATCTTATCTCATATCAAATGGAAATATTTCGGAAACTGCCTATGGTATGGAAACTTTATCTACCATTGGTATGTCATGCCAATGGTAGATAAAGTTTTTGTATTTCGTGCATGCATATATCATCCATGCAACTTGCCAAATTGCGTAGGCGATAAATATATAGTAACCTATAAGATAACAATACACAATTTTTGAAAAGAATGCCAAAGATGTTCTAGAGTTAAAAAATGGTTTATGTTATATTCATTTAAGTTTTCTTTACCTGACATTCGGCAGAACGCATTTTTAACTGCCATTAGCGGTTCGATCGACATCTGATGAAATATGTTTGGGAAAAGCTAACAGAAAGGAACTGGATGAACTATTAAGATATTTTTTCTAAAACTGTGCTATGTTTCCCTGAATTTTTATACGATATACTGTGCAATTTTTTTATTTTAGGTTTCTTATTGCTTATAATTTTTATAAGAAAAGGAAGGGTAAAAAAGTGTTTCTATGAAAAGTTAACAAAATTTCATTGTCACTTTTTTAACGGTTGATAATATTCATAATGTAAATGAGAGAGAGAAAAGCATTTTAGGGAAAGGTTTACATGATCTCCTCTTTAACGGCTAGTTAGTTGGTTATTTGATTGTGTTCTTTGCGTAAAGAGAGAAATTTTTCATGGAGAATTATCCACATAAACTGACCAATATTTACGTTTCAGGGAGAGATGCCCCGTGGAGGACATTTTAAGGGAAACTTGCTAGTATCCATCTTATGCCTGGGGAAAACCCCGAAAATGCACATGCAGCCATCTGATTTGACGGAATTCGAACCCCGTACCGAACTACCAATATCCAGCGGTTTTCACCGCTCGGCTGCTGGTGGGCATTAAGAAAACTTACCATTTTCTTTGCAATAAAATGCTGAATTACGAGTGGAAAGAAAATTTTATGACTTCATTAATTAATATATTATTGTACACACCATTTTGTGTAATTAAATTCTTTGTTACGAAAATGCGACATGCTTGAAACATTTGTTTATCATATTAATTAACAATTACAATTTTTTATAAGTGAAATTATAAAAAAATGCCAGATTCGATTCTTTTTTTTTTTTTTTTTTTACGAAATGCAACAACGTATTTAAATAAAAAAAAGTCGAATAAAATTAAGTATCCGGAAAAAGAACCCAAACCCATCATAATTTCTCAGGAGAAAATTTCATTGATTATTTTTAATGAATTAATTCTGTCAAATAATACACTGTAGACATCACGCTTCACTTCTTGAGAAAACAAAGAATAGCAGTTTCCACGTCAGAGATCAAATGAAAATGGAGCAGAAAATAATTTTACTACCCACTTTTCAGATGAATGAGCGGCGATAGAAAAGTAAAGGGTTTAGTTTGGTTTTATTCCATTATGACAAAGCACTCGAGGGCTATCTGCCTAAAGGGAAGGATACATTCATGGAGGACTTTCTGAGGTAAAGTAACTCGTTATTGCGTTATACATAGGACTGTTGTTGTGGTTTATTTCACCTGTCTGGCCTAATCAGAACAAAGCCACGAATTTTTATAGTGCTACTTTGTTCAGTTCCGTCCCTATTTTGGGAGACAGCGGCTCGGGTGACGGATCCAAGAGACTCCCACAGCTCTTCTCCTAGCATTCACACACGAGAGGAGTATCGACTCGCCATAATATAGTGCGCTCAAGCCACAAAGCCGCCATCCATGGCAACAAACCGGGCCCTTTGGTACGGTAGTTCAGTAAGTCTCTAACCACTATCCCATTAGGTGGCATATATATGATTGGTTGGTTTATATAATTATGGCAAAGTACGCTTGGACTACCTATCCTAAGGGAAGGGATGCGTTCATGAAACAAAAAGAAATATTACACACGGAGAAAACTACTAAAGCGCCATGCAGCCAGCCCGTTCGCTTGGAATCGAACTACCAGTGTTCAGAGACTTTACGGCTTGGCCACTAGTGCGCGTTATATATACAGAAAATCACGAAAACAACTATGCAGAGAGCTCGTTCGTCTGGCATAGAAAACAGGTCGAACTTCAGTATTCAGCAGTCTTAACCACCCTGGTTGGGGCAGTTATAATATGATTTTGACGCAGAATACATTAATACAAATTAAATAGTAAGTCACAGTTTTCGACTAATTTTATCTATTGGTAATAATTTCATTTGATTTCATAGTTTTTGTATTAAATTTTATATTGAATGAAAATCTAAGTAGAAGAAAACTTCTATTTATCAAAATGCATTTAAATACGATGAAATTAAAAATTAATTAATGTGCATACTAACGTGTGGGAAAAAAATTATAATGTGTCATTTGCAAATTCAAAACAACATTAAATACGACTATTTCCCTAAGTTTTCATAAAAGTCTCTATAAATTTATAATATATTAAAAATTTAAGATCGAACGATAATTAACCAGAAAAATTTCTCAGAAATTCACTAGAGAGGGGGGAATGGAATTTGCGCAGTTTATGCTGCTCTGAAAGATGACAACAAAGTTACCTCGGAATTTTTTAAGGTTTTGTTATTAAACATTTCTTCCTAGCCTTTTCTTTGTAACATGGTACTTAACATTTCTTCTCGAGTTACAGTTAAAAGAAGAAGCAATCTAAATTCAGACAAATTAAAAAGTCGGATATTCAAAGCTTTAACGGGAGAAAATGTGATGAGAAATCGGGATTCTCCAGACTTTACCAGGACAGGTGACAGCTATGTTATTTCCTATGTTATTATCATGGTTTTTCCGATCATAAAATGTATGAGCCGAGCTTCTTTGGTGGGCAACTAGACCTTCTACGTCACAAAAACGGTTTAGAATTTGCCTAAATGTTCTAACTTTTCAACTTCATGCCAGTTTGGTATAAGGATCGACCAATTACACCGAAGCAATCACGAACTGACATTCGGTCGACGATTTCACCGAGTCAGCTACATATTTACACATGCGCAACTTTACCTTCTGTGACTGGATTCGGCTTTAACACCGTTTCGAAATTGTGAACGGATTTAATGACTTTTACGCCTTCAGCCTATGACAATAATGACGACTAACAAATCATATGAATGCTCTTTCATCCCTACATAGGATTTTATTTTAGTAGACTATTACATATTCCATACACCGTGCTGCACCTTTATGTCACCATCAGCGAAGAGAATATGTGGCTGGCAGATTGTTTCGCTCCTGAGAATATTGGAAAAAAAATGTATGGCAACACTTAACGCTGCATCAGGAATTCTAATCGTATGCTGTTATGCTGCTTTTAAATTTTTGTAATTTTGTTGTTGAATTGCATATGGCGTTAAGTGCCAAGAAAATGATGCTTAATAATAAATCTAAAAAGATCCCCCACCAAAACAATGGGTTAGTAGGAGTGAATGTAACAGCAGACTGGTAGACTGCGAGCTCAGCGAGAGCTTAAGAAGCCTTAAACAAGCCTTTTGGGTGACCATTAAAATATGAAATCTTTCAGATTTAAAAATTTGCTTTATTATTTCTTATATTTATTTTGGATTTAATAAAGAACTCATTTTGTTTTTCATGAAGCTTCATTTATTACCAAGGTTGCCGCCTCCTAGTTAAAAATTTCACGCCAATGTTTATGCTTGGCGCCAAGTAGCATCCCCTTAACAGAAAAATACTGACATTCATCATAAGTGATTAACTGAATTTAAGATTTTCTGAGTCATTTGGAAAATTAAGTTATCAAAAGTGCCCTTGAATAGTAAAGAGATGAAGGTCACATTGCTTCAAAGTACGAATGCTCGTTTTACAGGAAAAGCGGAAATTTGAGGAGTATAAAGCATTCTCATTGGTAATTTTTAAAATTCTTTAACTTACACTCCATTCAATTTACGTAGCACAGGAATAAAGGAAAAATACAGGAAGGCTTTATACTGCGTTTTAAACTACATTAAAATTTTTTAGAGACCATGGACTGCAGATAAGGAAACTAATTAAATGCACATTTTAAATCAATGGCTATAAGTACATAGAGGAGATTTTAAGACCTTTAAAGAACTGCTTCCTTTCTTTCAACTTTTGATAGGTTTCCAGAGTAGATTTTTGATAGGCTTGCAGAAATAAATTATTAATTAAATGTTGTGTCTACTTACGGGCTTTTTACGAAGTATATAATCTCCCGTGTAAATTTCCTGTAGACTTCCCATCCGCAAGGTGTAGAATTAGCACAGTAATAAGGTTCTTCAGTCATCTGCGAGAAATTTTCACCACTCCTCTGCTAGACAGAAAAGAATTTTTTTTAAATTTTATTCGTTTGTATATGTATACTTATGATTACTTATGATTATTATTGTGATTACTTATCACTTAAAAGATAATCAGAAAAAAATTATTCAGCAGTCGGCAAAATATAATACTGAAATTTTATAAATAATAAAGATAAGCGATTGAAGAACATTACTTTTAATAAATTAAAATAAAAGGAACCTGTTATCCCTTCCCGTGCCAACAAATTTCTTTTATTCTGAAAGTTATATTGCTTATCAGTAAATAAAACGAACCACTTAAAAAACAATATGCGATTAATTTCTAGATTATTTATACTATTGACACAGTTTTTAATTCTAAAATTTTCTCCAAATTTAAATGTAAGCAATAGGACTGTAATCATTAGTGAAGAAAATATATCTTTCTCTTAATTGTTTTCTCCAACATAAGACGCATTTTGAAATAAATATAACATAAATTTAACCACATTTTTATAGTAATGAGAGAATACGGATTCGCTTTCAAAATTCTGAGAATTATTCTGAAAAGATTTTGAATTATAAAAAATACGTACCTTTAATTAATTGAAATTCGCGCTTCAGCATACCCGTGACATAGTTTTTTGTCAAATTTATTATTAATCACCTAGTGCTTTTTATTAGTAACGAATAAGTTAATGTTTCGTGGAAGCAATTATATAAGCTTTCTATAACAAAGCTTTCCTATATAAAAATCTGTCAGTTTACATCGTCCCAAATAAAATGAAACAGCAGTAAAATAAAAATAATTATGAAATATACATAATTTTTATTTCAAATTATTTAGCAATAAAGCAAAACTAAAATGCATGAAATTTTTTAGCTGCGATTAAAGCTATTTAAAAAAATAAAATTGTAAAACAACTGCAAGAAACCTTCCTGTAAATTCATAATTTTGTTTTCAGGAGATTCATAAAATATTTACGTCCTTATTCATCTTTACTTTAAGCGCGATTTTATTTCTTTAACTGCTTGCTTAAAAGAAACTTGTCTCTTCTTTGAATTAGTTTTAGCAATTAACTAAGTTACAGAATATCATGATTTTCATATCTTCTCAAACTTGTTTTAATCTCCCATTTCATTATATTTCCGGAAATCTACGAAACGGTCTATTTAAATGTACATAATTTTAATCGAGGGGCCACCCTGACAGTATAGTGTTCAGGGGGGGACTGCGATACCAAAGGGGCCTGGTTCGAATCTTGGAGAAGGCATGGTTGTAACTGTACATCCCTTCATAGGAGGCAAAGGTGACCCACCTATTAGGCGCCTCCATAATAAAGTGACCACTACTTCTGGCCTTAGTAGTGGCCAAACCAAAGTCGGCTGAAATCCGGCCACTGGTTTAAAAAATTCAATCGAAGTACAAATTTTCAGAAAATCAACATCTAATGCCTTAAAAATAACACAACTCCCAACTCAGTTCCATCGATGTTCTCCAATTACATCTCTGCACTACTTTTGGACCGCTATGCTATGATCCAGAGGAGTATGAAACAAAACGTCTCATAAATACAACCCATCCTTCACACCATGGAAAAGGGGTTGTAGCACACACCACCTTTCAGCACAGCCTCCATGAAAAAATAAGGCCAGTAAATGTCATCCATTCGTCTAACTACGGAAAAGGAATCTCGGCCCACACATCATGGAACGATGACTCTGACATAAAGGATCAATATTATGTTTATACGGATGGTTCAAAAGTTGACGGACAAGTAGGCTGTGGCCTTATAGTAACTAAGAACAAGGAAACGCTGATAACATGGAAAGGTCATATGGGACAGAATAATTCAGTTTTCCAGGCTGAAGCAATTGCGATTCGTAAAGCTATCGAGTTAACAAGCCCCCCAGTAGGATCCACTGTTAATATTCTTACAGACAGCCTCTCGGTCATATATGCCTTACGAAATCCCAGACATCCTTCTCCTATCATAGCGGAGATTCAGGACACGCTGAAGGAGCGTTCGTCGACAATGAATATCCTCATATCTTGGATAAAGGCACATGCCGGCATTCAAGGGTAATGAGGAAGCCGACAGGCTAGCAAAAGAAGCAGCTCCAATGCGTAATTACCAAACTCCCGTGGTCTCACCTTAAAAAAGTGACAAGGACAGCAGCTCAGCACCAGTGGCAATGGGAATGGGACTCTACCGAACAAAGCAGGAAGACCTATGAATATTACCATAAGGTTTCGCTCGATCGTCTCGAGTCATCCCCACAAATAACGAGATTTGTGACGGGGCACGGGCCTTTCCCCTCCTATTACTATGAGAGAGGAATTGCAAATACCGAAAGTTGTGTCTGTGGAGGCATTGGTAAACCAGACCATTACTTGACCCAATGCCCTCTAACCGCACAGTGGCATGTGCAGCTTCCGGAACAGGCAACTTCTCATAAGCGTTATCTGATCAAACAGCCAGCTTTTCGCATCAAAATATGCAAGATAATGCAGAAACTGGAGGAATTGGGAACAGATTTGTCCAGTGTGGAGTAGTTCCCTGTCAATCTCTCTCTCTCTTCTATCCCCCCCTTTTTTTAAATTAAAAAAAAATTATTTTATTTATTTTTTTATTTTTATTGTATATATTATAAACATGTATGTATTACGGCCCACTGTGTATATTATGAAACATGTATGTACTATGACCAATGAAAATTATTATGAAATATGAATGTATTATGTAACAGGCTCAATATATTATGAAACATGTATGTACTATGGCCAATGAAAATTATTATGAACTATGTATGTATTATGTAACAGGCTCAATATATTATGAACTATGTAAGCAAGTATGAACTATGTAAGCCACTATGTACTATGTAAACATGTATATGTATGAACTATGTAAGCAAGTATTATGAAAGATCTATGTATTATGAACTACTTGTATATAAGCATGTACTATGAACTATGTAACTATATAAACATATATTATGAACTATGTAACTATAAGCATATGTTATGAACTATGTAAGCATGTATACAGGACCAATGTATGCCCTTATAGGCCCCATGAGGTGTTGCCCGGGATAGTTGCGGAACCTGGACTAGACCCGAATAGTCTTAGTAAGCCGCACGGGTGTCCAGATTCTGCTCTCAACTCAACTCAGTTCCATCGAGTTGAATTAACATAAAAAAGAACTGTAAATTAAATTATATGCAATTTAAAATATAGGAAACAATAATGATTTTATAAACGATAGCAAGGCTACAAAAACAATGAAAAACCTAGTTGTTTACCACACATCACTGTTGTTTATCATCGCAGTTTAGGCGGCATTCATTTAACAGTTTAAAGTAATACAGGAATTAGTCCAATACGTTAATTCTATCAATACTTTGATGTTTTGGTGTAGCAATAACCCTCTGACAGTTTTGATGCTTTCATATTCGAATGATTAAACTATCAACTATACCAAAAATAATTTTTAAAAAATACACTATAAGAAGTTATGACCTTGATGTATCTTGAACGCGAACAAACTCTCTGTTACTTGTTTTATTCTTACACATTTAAATACGAAAACTAAATATGGAAAACAACTTTATATTGTTCAAAAATACTAATACTAGTGTTCTGTGAGAACGAAAAACGTTAGGCTAATCAATAAAATAAATTCTCTAGTGACATGCATTTTGCAGCGCTATAACAAAATATTTTTTAAACTCTGAACACGATTACTTACTACAAAAGTATAAAGAAATTCTGGAGCAATAAAAAATAAAAATTCTGTATAAAACTTCTAGCTGCTCTTAAAAAATGTTAATTTAAGTGGTCAACACATGGTATTATTAGATGGCAGCATTAAATATTACTTTTATTTGAAAGTTAAAGTGAAGTATTTGTCTGATTTTTTGCTGGCTTTTATTTCAGCAAAATCCGGTATCTGTGAGCAAATATTTTACATCACAATTTCAGTAAAAAATTGGATTTCGGTTTTATGATTTACGTTTCGAACTGCAAAGACTGCAGATTTTAGTATCATTTAGATGTTGATTTGAAATTAGCAGGATCAGATTAAAATTGTTTTTTTTTCTTCCTTATCTTCTAAAAGCTACTGATAATTTCTCGCAGGCATCATCTGTTCTATTTTAGATCACGAGCTATGAAATATTTTTGCACGATTTCTTTCCCTGGAAATAAATACGGTTTTATATTTATTAAAACAGAATCCAATATCATGAAGCAAAATGAAGCCGTAATGAAAGGCAGTGAGATATTTTGATTAAAATCAATTATACAAAAATAAAATATGTAAAATAATATCATTAAATTTAGTAAATAAATTTTAATTAAAAGACGTAGTAAGATATTAATTAGTTTAGTAGACAGGAAAGACATCAGAAATACAAAAATATAGAAGACGGAAAACATGGAAATAACTTAAAACATCGTTTCATTCCTTTTAGTATAAACTCATGCAGGTTGATCCAGAATTCGCGCGTATTAGACTCTCAAAAAATATGTCAGAGCAAATATTAATAATAAATTGTTTTAATGCATGATGCCCATATATGTCAGCTGAAATTTCAGTTGCAGTTTATGCTGCGGCTCTTAATGACATGAAGTTAGGCCACCCCTAAGCTACAACTGGGGAAGGCAATTGAGAAGACAGCAAGAAATAATTCCGAAACATTGGTGATTATTGGTGTTGCTGCTATTGTTGTAACTTATCGTCCTGATCTGTACATAATTAAGATAATTTTACGAATTTATTCTGGCGAAGAGTTGCGTTTGTTGCTTTCCAAGGTTTTGAGCACTTTAGAGATGACAACATGAATTCACCCAGTTCCGTCCCAGTTTGGATGAAAAGCATCCCTTTTACTTCGCAAGCAGGGCAGCTCGTCAGCATCTGAACATAGAGTAGACGAACCTCTTCAGCAACAGAATCTACTAATTACTGTCAAACCCCGACAAAGGACCAAGATGTCAGCTCAGTTAGGTGTTATTGAGAAACTAATGTC